TTGTGAATATATAAAAGATAAAAGAAAAAAATATGTATGTATGTATATCTTTATTTGTTGTCCATCTTCTTGAAATATGGATGTGTCGTTTCGCTTGAGCAGATGCAAAAATTGTCAGTTAATTTGAAACGTATCTTAACTGTATTCAAATAAATGCACGTCGAGAGAAGAGACTAAAGAAATACAACGGTACCGTGAGGTTACGTAAAATGCTACGGATCTCGAATAATACCGTGAGTTATTATCCGGTTGTGACTCAAAATAGATAATTGTATCATGTAATTTACTGATAAATATGTATCTACATTAAAATGCACAAACAACTATTACACGACATTCGAAAATCGCATTCATAAATTATACATCCTGTGTGTGCAAATCGTTAACGGTACTGCGAAGATGGTAATCATACATTTAAAATGCGATTTAAAATCAACAATATGAATAAATAATACGTAAATAATTGTTTAAATCAGAGCAAAAGTAGAAATTAAAAACCATACACACAAAAGGAGATATCTTAAAAAATTTATATTTTTTAGAATTTAATATTTAATTTTTTAAATAAAAAACAGAAAAGAAAATATATCTATAAAAATATTTAAAAATATTACATTTACAAATGAAAAATATTGTTGATACAGCAATAATAATTTATAAACAATAATAAATGATTTTATTAAGACCGCAATGTAAATACACAAGTAAGAATATTAAAACCTATGTCGGTAGAAGCTAGATTTTTTAATGCTTTAAATAATTCAATGTGAATTATTTAAAGCATATACTAAATATGTACATACATATATACCGCATTTGTAGTTATTCGAACTGTGCTCTGAATTGGTTTTCCGGATTTATAAACGCAATAAAATTAAATTATTGGAATATCACAAATTAAATTGACAAGGAAATTTTTATAATTTTGATATTCAATCCGGTATCATATTAGAAAGATGTTAATGTGCTTTAATTACATTTATAAGTCTGGAAAACCAATTCGGCGCGCATTTTGAATGATTACAAATATGGTACATATGCATGTACATATGTATATAGTATACTATATAAAATTCACATTGAATTATTTAAAGCATTAAAAGATCTAGCTTCGACCGACATAAGTTTTAATATTCTTACTTGTTTGTATTCACATTGCGGTTTTAATAAAATCATTTATTATTGTTTATACACGCTGCCTGAAAAATGCATTATTGTTCCTATATACATTGATTATTGCGAAGAATATTATTTACTAAGGCCTCGGTAATCTAAAGGCTTAGGACGTTCGTACGGAATACAAGAGATCCGGGTTCGACTCCCGGCCGAGGTAATATTTTCCGCAATAAATTTATTTACAGTTTTTCAGCACATTAACATCTTTCTAATATGATACCGGATTAAACATCAAAATTATTAAAATTTGCTTGTCAATTTAATTTAATTTGTGATATTATTCCAGTAGTTTAATTGCGTTTATAAGTCTGGAAAACCAATTCGACGCGCAGTTCGAATGACTACACATGTGGTATATGCATGTGTATACCACATGGTATATATATATATATATAATTTATATATTAAAATATTTAAAGGATTAAAAGATCTAACTTCGACCGATATAGATTTTAATATTCTTACTTGTTGAATAATTTATAATTTAACATAAAACATATAGGAACAACTGAATCTATTCAAATATTACTCGCTTTATCTTTTATTATGCAGAATTATTAATTTGCAAAGTTCATAAAAAAGAAAAAATCACGTAACACAAGAGTCAGGAAATATAATTCCTTCATTAAAAACTGGAAATACAGCTATAACATGTTTTATATTCAGACAGTGAGATTCAGTAAGACAGTAAGATTTCATATTCAGAGAGATACTTTGTAAGTTTTATTAGATAAACGAATTCTGTTACATATAAATATTTAAGTAATTTAGAATTGGTTTAAGTAATTTAGAATTAATAAGTATATATATATATATATATTTATCAATAATTTAGATATTCTTTATAAAATAATATTTCTTATAAAATTATAATATTATATTTCTTTATAAAATAATATATATATATAATTTAGAATTGGTTTTCCTATAACAGAAATATTATTTTATAAAGAATATCTAAATTATTGATAAATAACGGAACAAATTAAATTATTTAAACATAATAATTATTTAAACATAAAAATTATGCTTAAAATATTGAAGAATTTTTAAACATTCGTTAAACATATACTCGTACATTTACATACTATTTTCACATTATATCTTAATTAATTCGTGGTTTATCATCCGTGTTATAATTAATAGCTGCAGTCGTTAAGATAACATGCAAAATGCATTATAAGACACATGCTTATATAGATTATATGTCACGCTATATTATATACACAAGAATATATTTAAAATAATTTCTCGACTTCACCTTCAATAAATATTGAAATGTAAGAAAAATCGAGAAAAAAATTATTGTTCGTAATGTTAAAAATAAATTATTGCAAATGATCAATGATAAAGAAACTATATGCGTGTGCGTATGTGTTTTATTTTATCGACTTAATTTAATAACTACGTATTAATAAATACAAAATAGTTCAGCGCGATCTTTAGGAGAAACTTTAAAGGATAATAGAGATCAACAAAAAAAAACTTTTATTAAGGAACCTGTAGTCTCTCACTCCTATGATTTTTTAAGGAGTTATGTCCTCGTTCGTATCGACTGTAAAATATCTTTTTACAAGAACAAAATCAAAGAACGTGAATTATTGTCAGACGTCACGCAACCGAACAAATAGCTTCTTGTGTCAGAGGATACAATTTCCTTAACAAAAGTTGATTTTCTTGATGAGAGTCATTCCTTGAAGTTTCTATCCCAGACATTTTGTATGCGTGATGTGTATCAACAATGTTAATTTTTTTAATGATATGTGCATTGTTATAAACGTTAATTATTAAATACATTTTAATATCTACATATGAATTATTTATGTAGTTGTAGATTGATATGGATTTACCTTTTACAGGCAAAATGGATAATCCTCTATCAAATGAAGAACCAGAATATATACGTTCGTGTAAAAACACGAAATTTAAGAAGATATTGAGATTATTGCATCATTTGGACAAAAGTGTAAACATGGATGGACGATTTCGAGATTCCAAAATTTTGGAGGTCAGAATAATTTCGGTGGATACAAATTGGAGAGGAAGAGGTGTCGGGACGACTCTGATGGGAAAAACAGCGTAAATATTATTTTGCTTTTGCGATATGTTCAAAGATCGATTAAAGAGATGCGTTCAAGAAAGCGATATATTCTTGATCTACTTATAAATTGCAGAGAAATGGCAAAGGAACAAGGATATCATTACCTCAGGGCAGACTGTACGTCCGTTTTTACCGCTAAGATGTGCGAACGATTTAGTTACGATCAGATATATAAAATTAATTATAAGGACTACGTGGATGAGGACGGAAAACCAATCTTTTCACCTGCATCACCACACGTAGCGGCTGTCTCATATATAAAGAAATTATAAAAATAAAGTTGAAAGATATGGAATTGAAGAGAGAAGTATACATCTAGAATGAAGAAAAGTTTGTGTAAAGAATAATAAAAAAATGGCAACATATTATTATATTATATTATTAGTATAGTCGTTTATATTAAAAAAGTATAGGAGTGTTTTTGTTTGTAAAAAAATAATAAATAAAATATATTTTATAAATATACTATACAGTATATGTATAAAAAATATGTACATCGTTATATCTAAATGTAATTGTAAATACAATAATTACTTCAAGAATGATTAGATTTGAGATAACATAAATATCTGAAAATTTACATACGCACAAAATGTATTGTATTATTGGCAAATATATATCGCTGAGATATGTGTATATAATTTAAAATTATAAGTATAAGAATTTGATTCTTTCGTCTATCTTAATAATATATTAAAATTAATGTGGTTGAAGTTTGGAGCGTTCGTGGAGCGAAAATTAAATGTAAGCCCACACTGAAGTAACAGACAATTGAAGATCACTCTTCTCATATGTAAAATTAATTATTAAATTAGTATTATCTTAATAATATATTATTAAATATCATAAAATATATTAAAAATATGAATCAAATAATGCATTATCGTTAAAACAATTTTCTTACCGTAGTTTTTTCTTATTATATATGAAAGAACGACCATAGTGGTGTACGTCACTTTTTAAATCTATCGATTTGAGGTCGTTGATGCAGTTTATTGAAGCAGATATGAAAGAAAAAAATTAAATAGATCATAATTCATCTTCCCAGTATCAATATTCGATTTGTCACATCACGAATTTATTAGATCAAGTTTAATAAAACCTTTTGTTTCTCAAAATCATAATTAAGTAATTTTTTTTTATTTACACCATTATGGTTTTTATCCCTTCATATATGTAAATGTAAGTGTAGAAATAAAGAATAAAAAAATATATATATTATATTAAACCTTACCGTACAAAGTTGGGTCACTGTAGTGACCAAGCGATTTCTGTTCGTGCAAGTTTCTTGAGTCTTTCGGTAATTATAAATTATACTACATTTTATTATTTTCCAAAATGAAGTTTCAATATTTTTTTAGAAAGTTGAATGTGTGTTGGTGAATTTTTAGAGATTTTTTGAACCATTCTGAATAGGTGAAAAAAACGGATGAATTCGAGTGACCCATGTTTGGACGAATGAGACATCAAATTGTATTTTATATTGTAAGGGTTAAAAAATTTTTTTCTAACGAGATATTGAGAAAAAACGTTTTGCATTTCGTTTTATAGATTTAATAAACCATGCTTTCAAATTTTCGTTATTAAGCAGATAAACAATATCTTATATAAAAAGAATCCGCAAAATAGAAATATATAAAGTCTTTGTATAAAAATCATATAATAATAGGATTTATGTACAACAGGAAGGAAAAGGAAATCCAGAAAAAAATACCGTGTCTCTAATAACTGCCACTTTTCTAATTTCTAATAAAATTTTTGCTAACATTCACTACTGTCTTCTGGTCAGGTACTTTTTAAGATCCTCTTCGGAATTAAGATCATTTATAGAAAACTCATTGGCTTTATTACGTGCCGATTCTCGAATTTGTTTGTATTCGTTCTCTATTAAAGTATTTCGCAAAGCTGCTATCTTTTTTACTTTCGTATAATAAATGTAAATAAATTGTAGTAACCCTAATCCAACACACATAAGAGCTACTAGGAGGCCAAAGTATTCATTCGGTTTTTGTGGAGGTGGTGGCCACACTCCTCCTGCTGTACGTACTTCATATTCCCATTGACTGCTATATTGCCTGCAACAATGTATTATGTTACTCGTATTAAATTTTTTGCTCATTGTTACATGTTTATGCATGCAATACAGAATCAATTATAAAAATAAAGTCACTTTGCTTCAACCTATTCACAAAAACTTCTGTACAACAGAATTCTCCTGTTGTGTTGTGCGTAAGAATGGAAAATAACACAATTTCAGCGTTACATCCAAAGCATAATCATTGATTATTACAATTCGCTTTAAATTATATGCTAAGTTTTCTACAGATATTTTTGTCAAAGCACAAATTTGGAAATGCAAAAACAAGAATTTTAAAGATACGACTTAATTTCATATTGCATTAGTAGCATTTTGTAATGAAATCAATATTAACTTACGTGTTCCGTGAGTTATGTACATAAGATGGGTTGTATTTATTATACTTCAAATCAAAATCATATTGGCGCTTTGTATTTTCTTTGCTTAAAATTGTGTATGCTTCGTTCAACCTTATAAAATCAGCATGATCTTGTTTACCACTAGTATCAGGATGCAACTAACAAAAATTAATGTACAGTTTGTATGATTAAAAAATGCAGACTAGTAAAAACAGGAAAAAAATGCTATTTGGATAATATTACATTCGTAATATTATCCAAATTAAAAATTTATGATTTCTCCTAATACAAATTACCTGAAGCATTACATACTTCTTGTATTTATATGATTACATACTTGTTTTGACAATTTGATAAAAGCTTGTCTAATCTCTTTCTGCGACGCATCAGATGAAACGTTTAAGATTTCATAATGATTCTGCTGGTACCTTTAAAAGGAACGCGCTACATTGGCAATAATAAATCTGTTTTTTTTTTAGCAGGCTGACACTTTCTACACTCAAAACAAAATAAGTATATATTTCCATCTCATATGTTAAAGGGAGGGAAAGGAAAGAAAGACTGTGAATATAAATATACAGTATAATATCCTTTCTTTTAATTTTCCTGTAATTTTGCAATTTGTGTATTTTCATGCATAGAATATTCTGAGAAAGAAAATTGTCGTTCCCGTTTCCTCTTTTTTTAATTTTGAAGTTTTTTAATATCTATATAAAAAGAATAAATGATGTAAATTTTGAATCATAAACTATTCTCTGCTATAATTTAAGTTATATAAATAAGTAATTTGTGGTATATTAATTAATTAAAGCAGAGAATCTGCATGGAATATAGAGAAAGCAGAGAATTATCATTAAATTATGATTTTCTAATATACTGTATATAATTATCATTTTCTAATATACTTATAAAAATTAAAAACTGTGAAATTAATGAAAAATACAGACGATTTTCTTTTTCGAAATACATTTTACTCATGAAAATATACAAATTTACAAAATTACAGAAAAATCGAAGAGAAGAGGCATTATACTAAATATTTATCAAAGATTGTAATAGAGTACAAAAAGTACAAAAAGTAGCTAGCTAAAAAAAACAAATTTATTATTTGACGCTTATGACATAACTAACGTGACGACAAAACAAGATTCTAACCTCCGAATTCCATAACTTCTGGCCACGCAATAGATTTCCAGTTTGCACACTCGTAAGAATTGTGCCATTGTTCATCAACGCAATATTTATCAACAAAGCGATAAGTCATTTCGGAAACTTGAAGCATTTTGTGCATCGACAGCTTATCTGTCAGACGACGGCCGCCATTTTTCATGTAAAAAAATATCTGCTAACAAAGAAAATGGCTATTGGCGCTGGTTAAGGTAGTTTCCTTCCTACTTCGCGTTCGATATTCACGTAACCGGTAAATGACGTCGAAGGAGATCTATTTTATCATTTCCCTAAGCATCGACGTAGTTATTTGACGTTTAACGATTGCGCATTCTGTTTTTGCGCATGGCACCACTGATAACGGGAAAACGGACGAGCGAGGTCTTGATTGGCCATCAAAAGTTGTTTACGTTACGGAACCACCAGAACTACGTTTGAAAATTGATGCGACAATCGAAGCGAAATCGCAACATTTTTCCGGCATTTACGATTTATACGTTTTGTGCCGGGCCTGACGATGGTGCGATACGCCGCCCTGAAAGGATTATACGACCTGGAGAAGACGATCGGTAGCGGCGGTTTCGCCAAAGTCAAACTCGCGACTCATGTCGCTACCGGCGAAAAAGTCGCCATCAAGATTATGGAGAAGACTGCATTAGGCGTAAGTAAAGTCCTGATACTTATTTATTTTAAGAGAAGGGAATATTTATTGTAACTTTGCTTGTCAATATTTTTTTTCCTGTTCCGTCTTAAAATATATTTATTATATAATTATTCTAGGATGACTTACCAAGAGTGAAGGTCGAAGTAGAAGCACTTAAAACACTGTTGCATCAACACATCTGTGGACTGTATCAAGTGATAGAGACGGAGAGTCACTACTTCATGGTGATGGAATATTGTTCTGGTGGAGAACTATTTGATCACATAGGTGAGTTTAAGGCTAATATTGCATGCGTACGTTTTTCGTCGTACGACGAATTTTTCAAGCCTGTTAATTGGCTGCAAGACAGATAATCTCGGACCTCTTTGTTCTATAGCCAATCGACAAGCTTGAAAAATTTGTCGTACGATAAAAAACGGATGCATGTAATATTGGCCTAAGTTATGACATAAAGAATCTTTTGTTATCTAGAAAATCTGAATATTAATGACTATTGTATTTGTATTCCAGTTGAGAAGAACAAGTTGTCGGAATCTGATTCCCGTAGATTTTTTTACCAGATAGTGTCTGCAGTTGCATACATGCATAGTTTAGGATATGCTCATAGAGATTTAAAGCCTGTAAACATGTTTTTTTTTACAATATTATTTATTTTAGGAAGATTTACTAAGAGTAATTTGAAAATAAGATAACTTATTTTCTTATTTAACAGGAAAATGTTTTACTGGATAAAGATGAGAATTTAAAGTTAATTGACTTTGGACTATGCGCAAAACCCAAGATGGGAATTCAGGCACATTTATATACCTCTTGCGGTTCTCCTACATATGCTGCCCCAGAGCTCATAATGGGAAAGAAATATTTAGGTAATTAAGTATTTAAATGCTTATGATATTTCTTTGTAATTTAATATTTAAGATGTAAATTTTTCTTTGCAGGCTCAGAAGTAGATATTTGGAGTATGGGGGTTCTTCTTTATGCTTTACTATGTGGCTTTTTGCCTTTTGATGACAATAATTTAGAGAATTTATATAAAAAGATACTAGTAAGTTTTATAATTACCCTCTGCATATTATGATACAAATGTATAAATTATATTTATTTTAGAGTGGCAAGTATGAGGAACCATATTGGTTATCTAACAATAGTAAAATGCTAATCAAATCAATGTTACAAATCGATCCAGCAAACAGAATCACTATTCACGAATTATGTCGTCACCCATGGATTACTGGGAATTCTCTGAAGTCTGTATCATTCATTCACAGAACAGAAGTAAGAATTTTTATTGCAGAGAAATTGACTTTTTATAGTTTTAGATATTTTATATAAAATTCTTTTTTTTCTATTTAAACATTTAGTTTGAGAAAGATGACGAGGTATTGAGTACTATGTCCGCCATTTGCGGTGAGAAAAGTATAGATATATGGAAAAAACTTGTGCAGAGTGATAGAACCGATTACAGAACGGCTACATATTTATTGTTGCTTGACAGAAAATTACGTGGACTTTCATTGAAAATAGCACCTACAACGAGATCTCGTCTTAAGCAAGAAATGGTAAAAAAGTAAAAAAAAATCACTTCAATGTAAGATTGATGTATTCAATTGTACAATTTTTATTTTATAGAATGGCAAAACTTTTCCACAACGTGAAACGATAGCTAACAATTTTATAACTAAACTCGATCATTCTCCAAGGAACAGAAACAATGACCAACGTACAACGATTGATGTCACTTACAATGTTTTGCCTACAGAAAAGGAAAATAACTTCGTAGAACCACCATATATGTGTACAAGAAAAAGGTTACGAAGCAGAAATTCTGATGTATCATCGCCCGGTAAATATTTGATCACTACTATCCAATATTCCAATCCTTTTTACTATTTATCATTTTTTATAAACATGGAAACATTTTAATTTTTATTGAAATGTTATCATTATTTTATCTTCAAAAATTTTTATCATATTTCTAAATATGTTGATTTTTAATGTTTTTGTGCATTTTGTTATTTGTATGCTTTGTACATGCAACTGTTTATTAAACGCGTTGCGGCCGCAGTTAAGTTAGTTCTACAGTACATTTTCTAAAGTTTATTTCTAATTAGGTGATGCTAGCACCATCTAATTAGAAACTTTAATGAAAGTTTCCGACTGCGATAAATTACAGTAGTCGCGCGAAAAGTAGATAATTACTGCGAGAAGAGCAATGACTTGCTAACAAACGCAATTTGGACTTAAGACTTTCCGTGTACAAGAATCCTTCACCAAAACCCCTTAGAAGATACATTATTTTCCTCCTCAAGCATCGTTACATTTGAATCCTCATCACTCAGAAAAGTATTAAACTTTTTAGTAATATCTATGTATTTATATATAATTTGTTAATTATACATAAATAATATTGAAATTATACTTATAATTTGGCTTTTTATATTAATACAGTTCCAGCAAAGAAACTACCTGAAAATAGATCAGCTACTCCAACGCAATCCTTAACACCAGATTCCAAGTAAGCTTATGAGTAATATGAAAGTAATACAGCAAATATAATATTTAAAAATACAATATTTTTAGAGTTTCTCAAACATCTACACCTGGTAGTGCAAGAAAAGTTATGATGGGCTTAGAGCGAGGATTGAATCGAGTAAGATGTGTTCTCACACCGAAAAGGCGAACAAAGAATGAAAACACCGATCCCGATGAACCAAATATATTATCCGGGAAGGTACGTTTTATATTTAAATTATATATGAAAATATTAGAAAAAGTTTCTGTCTTGCAAGTGGCAGTAAATTTTATTTTATTATTGAAGGGTCTTTCTAATGTATCTGCAACATGCAGCGGTTGTCCGAAACATGTCCTCTCGAAATTACGCAGAGCACTTCGACAAAAGGGTATAATGTGCCGTCAAAAGGGGTAACTATAATTTTATTCTGAACACTATTTTTTACACCGGTATTTTTAAAAACATCTCGTTACAGATTCATTTTGCAAGGGGAAACTGAAGAGTCCTTTTCGGAAAATAAGACAAACTCATCGAAATCGATTTCCTCACAGAATTCCTGTTCCTTCGAATTGGAAGTCTGTCTCTTGGAAATCGATCCGAGCGGTAAACGATTAGTCGGTATTCGTCGGAAAAGATTAAAGGGTGATGCATGGGTTTATAAACGCGTCTGTGAGGAAATTCTTGCTCTCACTACAGAAGATATTTCCACAGATTCCGAGATTTCTTCTGAATCTAAGTGTCCTATTTAAAATGGTTTTCTTATAAATATATCTACGATGTAGATTTCTTGATACAGGCGCTCTTAACAATCTAATTGCGTGAGAGACGCGAATATCTTGACTTAATAACTTAATTAATATAATACTTAATTAATATAATATTAATATTTTATAATAAAAACATCGACGTTATGTGCAACACAGATAGTACGAGTATAAGACTTAAAAATATGCAATTCTTAAACCTTTAATCTATTAAAATGTTTAATTTAACTCAGAAAGAGATTATTTTGCTTGTAATGTACATCTATTTTCATTAAAAAGGTAAAATTGTAAGTAAGAAACAGATCTGTAAAGATCTATAAATATATTTTTTGTTTGAAGATACAAGTAATGTAAGTAAAATTATAATGTAATATAGTATTTACGTGATGTAATAAAATTATTATCGCTTCTATACATACATCTCTTTATTTTCATATCCAAAATAAAAACAATATATTCATTAAAATATGATTAATTCATTGTAATGAAAGACATATAGTATTATTCTTTATTTTCATATCAGGAGAAGTAAATATCATATTTTTTGTTCTCTCTCCAGCTTTCATGTAACATCAATATTGATCTCAAGAATGTTCCAACCAGATCGACTGTTCTATGGACAGCACAAAGAAATTTTCTGTGCGAGCACTTTGAGTGCTCCTTGCCCCTTTCTGTCCGGAATATGTAAAGCTCAATTTCACGTTTATACCGCAGATATAAAGTATCGCGGCCCGTTTGAACCGGTCCGCAGACTCCGCCACTGGTCGGTATAGAACTATAGACAGGCGAAGATATAAAATCACCACAAATCGATCAGCATAAAGTGGTGCCGCACGTTTACTTCACTTTCGCTTTATGGGAAGACGAAACCGACCTTTTATCTTTGCCCGCTCAATAATCGCCGGTTCTTCCCCGCGCGTAGGTACGTAGACGGGTATCCCTCTCGCGCGCGCAGACCCAGTCCGATCGGCCGCTGTTTTTTCTCCCATACCGATTCGGTACCGGTGCGAGACAAAGCCAAGCTGCTGCGGCTTACCTTACAATTGCTGTACTTGCAGCGTGTACACTAAAAATAAATTTAAAAATGTGCAGATTGCCCGCAGAGTTGTAATATGACGATGTGAGTTATCATCGTTCACTTTTGAAGATTTTTCTACGGAAACTAAAATAGAAGATGGGGAAAAAGAATGATGAAACGAAGAAAGTGCAGTGTTAAAAAAACCTATTCGATTCAGGCTCCAATGAATAAATCTAAGAATGTATAATAAAACCTATTTGAGCCACACAGGATGTACGGGTGCAAACATCCATTTATTTCAAAAATACAATGCATAAACGTTTTGATCCTTGGTTTGGGTCCTCATCAGTAAAAAAAAAGTCATGAGTGTTGATAAATACGAAAATTAGTAAACTGTAAATACAATTGCAATGTGTCTTAGGCCAGAATCAGACTACGCATTGAAGATTGAGATTGAAAGTTGAAGATTAAAATTTGACCAGTGAGAGAGAGACGACAAAGAAATTTTAGCTCCTATTGTTTTGATCGGTCAAATTTCAATCTTTCAATCTTCAATCTTAATATTCAATGCGTAGTCTGATTTCGGCCTTAGGGCCATGGCACATAAAAAACTTAAGCAGTAAAACATAAGCAGTAAGCAAATTGAGCAATCACAGTAGAGTCCGTAATGCATGGTCTACAATGGGTAGTAGCAGTAGTGGATTAAGGAGTAGTCATAGAAATCGACCAATCATAGCTGATTATCCTCTTCACATTCGACTATGATTGCTTGATGCACTACTGCTACTGCCCATTGTAGACGCATAAGGCTATAACGTAAGCAATAGCCAATCCAACATGTTGATTTCCTTGCTGCTTACGTCTTGCTGCCTCAATTTTTTTGTGTGCCATGGCCCTTATTCGCATAAGTGCACCATTTTTTAGTTACACATGATCAAACGTGAATGTACAGTCCAGCGAACTTCTTGAACATCAAATTATCCGATTTGCTAAATAAAACAATAGATTATTAACGGGGAAACGAATATTTTCAAAAAGCATGTATTATAGATGAAAGTGTAATATTGTATTTTTTTTTGAAGAACAAGTATTTATACAAGAAAAACAAACATTGCCCGTAACGGGATACTGTATCACAAAAAGTAACGTGTCAAACTCGTGCCGATAAGCTAGTTATTAATATAAAACAGGTTTTCTTACAAAATTAATCCTAAGTAAGTCTAAAACAAAACACGTGGGATTTCCTGCTCGTGATATAAGTTAATTTCTAAGCTGACCAGATACAAATTGCAATTAACAGTATCACCCGTGCGTGAGTGCACGCACGTGCATGTTACGAGCTTTGATTCATCGTTGCCTTTAAAGCCGAAAGAACCGAAGCAAAATACAAAAATGTATAGGCTTAATTTATATTTAATTTATTTGCACACACACGTGCCGTTAAAAAAAATTCTATATTACTTATGCTCGACTTCTGCATAATGTGCGTATATTTATACGTTTTTTAATCATATTTCACATGATTTATATGTGCTAAATTATTTTAAATATGATTAATTACGAGCAGCCTTTTATTTTTGGAGATTTTTAGATAACCCACTTTTTTTAAATTTAAATCCAATTCTCTTTTGATAAGTAGCACTTTCGTAAGAGATAGAAGTACATCATGTAAGAGAAAACGCAAAATCTTGACATGATTCGAATAGCTATTACTTGGTTTATGCTTCGGTCTTAATCCTAAAATCTTAAAATTCAGCCAATAGAGCTGCCAGTCTTAATTGGTCCTAACGAAAATCTGTATTCCATTGGCTGAATTTTAGGATTTTAGAGTTAAAACGGAAGCATAAACCAGTAATATGTCGAACGGCTGCAACGTGTGATTTAGCCCTAGTTCTACAACTCACGATTAACTCTTAATCGAGGTTCAACTTGTTTCTCATCTCAACATATTAATTACACATATGTATTGCTGAGGAGGACTCCAAAGTGAGTCGAAACGTTCAATAAAGAGGATTCTACACATTAATGATTAATTAAGATTGAAATTAATCGTTGGCACCTTCATCAGCCCGTGACTCGTATGGCCTTTACGGATTGTGTTATTATTATTTTTGTTTCTCATCTCTTTCCAATTCTAGAATCGGAAAGAGACAATGAATAAGTTGAACCTCGGTTAAGAGTTAACCGCGAGTTGTGGAACTGGGCCTAAGGTCATCACACGTACAAAAATTTTATTCGTAATTATAAGGCCGTAGGCAAATCGGCCAATCACAGTCGAGCGTTTAAAAGCGCGAAATCTTAATTTTGATTGTGATTGGTCGATTTGTTTGCGACCTTACGATTCCGACTAAAATTTTTGTACGTGTGATGGCCTTTATTAAGCCCGATCTACATAAGACTTGATAAGACGCAGAACACGAGTCGCAATTAAGCTTGTTGCGTCAGCCAATCCGATGCGTCCATTTTAAAAGTGACGGTTCGAGCCTGAGTAACGCAACAAGCTTGCGACCTGCGATCAAAGAGATTGTATATCGAATCGCGTTATGCGTCTTATATATGTAGATCGATCTTTAGACATAAATTAGTTGTAACTTGTGAATTTAAACGTGAATTAGAATCGAGTGAATTTTGTAGCGTGTGAGAGACAGCGGCGTCAGCTATCGAAGACATTATTGCCCGTGTTGCTGCCTCTCGTTCTCGCCATCCATCGGCCGCTCGACACCGGTTCGTACCAATTACCGTCTAGCCGGCAGCTAATTAAGGATTGGGGCAATGAGGCCCGGCGATACAGTTTCCGCGATAATGATTATCCACGACGGTAATTGAGCGAGTGGTTATGAACGCCGCAGGGGAATCGTACGAAGAAAGAGGGAAAGTACGAGGCGTGAACGATAAAGAAAGAAAGAAGCTACATCATTGTGGATTGGAAGTATGTAAGACCTTCTGGCTTTTTACATTTTACATATTCTTGTAATTCTAAAGTCCTCTACCTTCGTAAAACCCGCGCGTTCTTTAATCATAAAATAGCAACGTCACGATTTCTTCTACTTTGTGGAGATATTCTCTCGTCTTTGTAGAATTAGATTTCTGATGATTTTATTTGTACAGGAAAATTCTATAAGAGAGAGAGAGAGGATACTCCTCGCCGATGAAGACGATAAAAACGGTAGCGGCGTGGATCTTGCGAACCCAGAAAGATGGAACTCCTTATACCAATTTGGATTGCTTCGAGTCAGGCGAGCTCGCGAGCAAGACGCATTACCGAGAGGTAAGTGTAAGCATATGTATAATACAAAGCCACGCATACGAAGAAGAAGAAGAAGTAAGGGTAGCACGCGCGGCCCGCTTCTATCGCTTCCGGGCATCAGCGTGCTCGCGAGCCGCGGCTAATTGCTCTTTAATGCAAGCGGGCGAGCGAGCGAGCGAGCGCGTTGCTTTTCTTGGGTGTATGTCGAAGAAAAGCTAGCCTCGACAACGCAGTTAATGATGAAAATGCCACGTTAGCGAGAATTCTGTGTTTGCTATTACGAAGTGGTTTTTCATAGAGCAAAGTTATACGACTTGTTCAAAGAAATTTTAGGAAATCTCATTAAAAACAAAAACCTCAAGGAATCGTTTTAACTGAATTCATTTCGTGTCTCTTTTCATTTCTCGATATTAGAAAATTAATCTTCATATAGCGAAACAATACAATCATGGCACTGATGGGTGAAAGTAAATGTAGTTTCTTGCAGTTTCTTCGTGCAATTGTATTTTCTTGAAACGCAGTTTCTTCCGAGTCACGTACTGCAGTTTTAAAGTGACATTCGTTACACGTAAAAGAGGCGATTTCTTCGCACACCTGCATACATCTGAAGCACACAGTGTTACGCTGTTTCTTCTTCGGATAGACAGAAGCCGCGAAGAAGTCGTTATGCAGCTTGCACTCGGAAGAAAGACGGGGAGCGCTAATCATCCGACTTGCCTATTCTCATTTTTCTTCTTTTCTTTCGTGGTCGGTCCTGTTTAT